AATTAAATTATACCGATACAAAGGGAAAATGATACATTATAATACATTACATCAGTACATAACGTAATCATACATAAAAAATACGCAAAATAATACAATGGTATATAAAAGATTAAAATCCAGTTACATAAAGAATAATGCTACAAACAACAAATAAAGTCGCAGCTCCTAACAAGATAGTAAAAAAAGGAGGCCAGCAAATAGACAGCTGCCCTAAACTCACTTTAAATGCACTTCTGGCACTCACATGCACCCTACAATGCAATAAAATATCTTTCACCGCATCGCCGCAAGGAGAGTGCATTAGTAACAATATTGAAAAGAAGTAAGTAAATTCCACAATTCCCATGACCGGTCAAAATCTGAATCAGTTTATAAACCAGTTGAAAATGCCTTCACTTAAGCCATTGAAACAGTTGGGAAAAATCTCTTTGTCCACTGGGCCTTCGAAGAAATATGATTCTTGTTTATTTTGATAAATATTCAGTTATCTAAATTAAAATAGTATATTTCAAACACATTTTTTTAGTTTGTTAAAATAAATTTCCCGCCCATTGGCTGTTTTCAAATTATGCATTTGGCTCACTTGCAGTTTGATTTTGAGATCATTGCCTTAATTGGCATGTGAATTATTTTTATCTTAATGGTTTTTTTTTTCTACACAACCTCATGAAACACAATATATTTCTTTTATTCAAAGATTCAGCTTCTTTTATTCAAAGATAGGAGAAATCATTTATTGGAATTTCACAGAGTTTTTCCAAGAACTAACTAAATAATATTATTTGAAGCAAATAACGATGCCAGAGTATGAAAAAGAATGCATGTAAAAAAAAAGAGAGAGAGATTTTGTGCATGCTTCAGAAAAGCAATGCAATGTATTCAGGAAATTGGATCTCGTTCACACTAAAAGTATTTTTTACAGATACGAAGCCTGACTATTTTAAATATTTTTCCGAAGAAGCGAATTTAGATTGTATCCACAGGATTTGTTAGTATCACCTGCTCCTGTACTTGAATGAAATCATAACAAAGTATTTTCTTCTTATTAAACGTAACTATATATTGAAATAACACAAAAATGCATTTCTTTGTAACATGAAATGAAAAAAGGAAAAGGAGAGATTTAAATTTGAAACTATTTGCTATGTACAATGTCTGCTATTTTCTTTTCATATTATTTTTTGAAAAGAATCCTACAACACAAACTCAGCATATTAATATTATCTATTGTTCGAAAATATAGTTATTTTCTAGGAAACTAGATTTTTATAAGGAACGAAATATAAGAGTTAGGAAATGCTATTAAGGAATAAACTGCTAAAGATGTACTTACTAATTTGGATATATTTTAAAATATTTGGTAAGATGTTAAGCAAATATCAGCAATGAAGTCTTTTTCTTTTTCTGTTGTGTTTGTGGCTTATTCCACCTGATTGGCAGTAACATCAGATGAGGTCCCTGATATCAGGGCAAGCTCACGAAATTCATCGATTGTCGTTGGTAAGAGCCTTGAGCACAGTGTAGGTGACAGAACGACTTTGCTCCGTTTCGCCTCCAATTTTGAAGGACAGCATCCCGGGAAGCGGGACCGAGGGTCTCTTCCACCCGTCTTTGCCTACCATCAGCCGCATATTTAAAGTGTCCTCATACCGCAAAGACACTATACATTTACAAAATCTATGCCTTCTCCGGGATTCCAACTCGGGCCCTCTGGTACGACAGTCAGCGTCGCTAACCACTATCCCGGTTCGGAGGCGCAATAAAGTCTTCCAAGCAAAAGAATGATTCCATTTAAAATTCTAATATATGATTACGCATTTCGATTATGGTAATTATATGTTAATAGCAATTAAATTATCCATGCTAAATTTTGAAAACTCAAATATAAATCCATGTTGAATAAATAGTAGTTTACACTTCACTATTATTCAGTCACTATTTAAAATTTTACAAAATTTTGATATTTGACGATTTTTTAAATTTAAACGGTTATGTGGTTTTCGAAAGGGATGTATTTTAATAGCGTTTAGTAACTAGAGCAGATTATAAGAATACATATATATATATATATATTCTTATAATCTGCAGTATATACATTCTTATAATCTCCAGCATAATTTTAATAGCAATTCAAAATATTACAACAACTGAAAATCAACACTATGAAACACTAGAAAAATAGCTCACCCCGTAGAATAGTGACAGGGCTGTAAGAGCAAAACTATTGTAATGTAAGCATATTACTATCCAGTTTGTATGTACTTGATAAAAATAATATTTTAAAGCAATTTAAAATGACACTGAAAATCCAGTCAATGTGCAAATGAATTACAAGTTTATTTTGATTATCTCAGTAAAAGTATTGTAAATATGAATTCAGATAATGTTTAAATGTACACATAACTGTCCTGATTTTATGTAACTATCACATGTAACTTGTAAAAGACAATGTTTGTAATTAGCATATCTGTGCTTATACACAATTGCTTATACATTAATTCTTAGCTGTGTTATATAATATGCGTTATTCCGAGGGTACAAAAAGACAAAAAGTAGTCGAAGCATATTTTGAAAGCAATCAAAATCGGGCCCAAAAATTTTGCAGTGAGGACGCAGGTTCCTTCACGCAATGTAAGATAAAGCTTCAAACTTTCCTATGATATGCGCACTAATTTCAGAAAATCTGTTTTTGCATTTCATTTATAAAACATGTCTATTGGCATTAGTTAAAATGAACTGATGTATTTAAAATGAAACTGTATAAGAACATTTAAAATGTTTCCTTTAATTTTCTGATTACAATTCAATTTTTTCTCTTCAGCTATATTTGCTGCATTGGACCATATAGTAATTAGGAGACGTTGTCACTAGGTTGAAACCATTGAAAGTCATTGGATTCTTCTTTTGGGTAAGGCTTCGTTTTCTGCATATGTCATTCTCCTCTTCTCGAGGTGCAATGTTAGTCTACTGCTATTGATTGCTCCTGGGAAACTTTCTCTATTATGAGACGTTTAAATGACCGAAAGATTGGCTATTTCTGATAAATGCTTTAAAAGATTGCATTAAAAGAAAAAAAGGTAATAATTCAATTATGCTGTCCAAACGGTATAGCGGTAAGGGAAGCCGACTGCCATACCCGCGTTCGAATCCCTGAAGTGTCCGCGTTCGAATCCCTGAAAAGACATGGTGTAACGGTCCGTCCCTTCATAAACGCCCATTAGGTGCTTCCACAGTAAAATGGCCACCACTTCCGGCTCTAGGATTGGTCATTGTCGATTAGGCAAGTGTCCGCCATTAGTGAAAAGAAAAAAAAAACTGAAAGCTTTCAAGTTTTCATATTATGCCCAAAGGGCCTTTTCTTCATTTACACATATATGTATGTAATAAGATGGACATTATTGTAATATAACCGCTCTATTATTGTAATAAGACTGTGCCATTATTGTGATAAGATGACTTGGTGAAAGAAAATTGCACCGGGTTGACGATGATTCTGTGTATTATAACTTGAAGAAATTTTACTGTGTAGTTAGAAAGATGACATTCGAAGAACACACATAACGATAAATTCCACACATAATTTTATTCCATGGTAATGCATATCATCACTCTGGATGCTCTATGAATCCCTGAATTTTGTACACCTTACATCTTAAACAACGGACGAAATTAGAAAAATAAACTCTGCCTGGATAGCGGCAATGAAAAGATGCAGAAGTGAAGAGCGAAGACGAAGTTACGACGCAATTACCTTTTTGTACCGAATTCCATTTCAGATCACATGACAGATTAATGTCCAGTTGTCGAGTTCAAATTTCATCTATAAGTGCGCAATACAGATTAGATAACAGATCTTTTTTGTTTAGTTAGATAAATTATTGCTCTGCTGTTTTTAGAATGAAGTTAAAAGGCTATTATTGATTTATTATTTGAAAGATATTGAAGTATAGATATTTTATACTTTACATATATATTTCGAGAGAATTTAGGCTAAAAATATTTAAAAACAACTGGAGATTTTATCCCGCACAGAGTCTTGCCATTGCTCGTTTTGAAATCGTTGAGTTTCTTAAATAAAAAATTCGTTAAAGTTTAAAAAATATGAAATAGATAATTAAACAAATTCGAAATTCAAGATTCGTGCTAGGTGCCCATTTTCTGGTGAAGGACTACGTTATTCAAAATTTGATGGGTGTCGTTCTTTTTTCACAATGCGAGAAACATACATGTTTTCATGCAGATTTTTTATTATTCAATTTCTTTAAATATAATACAGGGTGATAATATTTGGTGGCAGCAATCTGAAAAATGGTACAGCTGTTTATAGTGTTTCAACGCAAAATCCCGTTCTGAGACTAATACTCCTTCTGGGCTAACATCCCTTTGGACTAAAAAGTAATACTAAAATTATAATTTTAAAATTATTTAAGTTAGTTAAAATAGTGACAACTTACTATTTTCAGTAATATTTTATTAAATAACTATATTTTGTGATATCAGTCTGCATCTACCTTCTGTGTTTAATTATAAAACACAAAATATATTGCCGGTAGTTTAGAAGTTTTAGTAATATAAGTTAAAAACAAATACTATGCCTGCAAGTTGTATGCAATTGAAATCCAAGTTTTAAATAATGTTTGAGCCGAAAAACTTTGTATGACTACTTTATTAAGCATGTTTGATAATATAATATTCAAATAAAACTTGCGAATAAAATATTTTTTTTTGAAAACTAGATTTCAGTAATTCAGAGTTTTCAAATATGTGTCTAAAATTTTAAAAAATAAAAAATATTACGGATACAAACTTTTCTTTTCCTACATAAAGTCTAGCTCTGCGTGCTGCTAAATTCTGACTCGACAAAGCCATTACTCCCACAGTGCCTAAAGTCCAACCAATCAAGCTTTTGAAATCAGTTACCAGCAGGCGGCCACAAAAAATATTTATGTAAGTAAAAGCAGAAGCAATTTTACCCTTTTTCACTCTATTGAAAAAAAGCTGCACTTAGCATTTTAATGTTGGCAACGGAAGAGTGTTGCATTTTATTAGCTTCACTTCAAAGAGGAAGGGAGACTTTTGTAAAAGGCTCTCTGAAAGTTGCTTGAATACGGGTAAGTTTTAGTAAGATACTTTTGACTAAGTAGCAACTAAAGTTATATCATTGTCTTTTCTTTTTGCATTTCTGATCATTTTAGCTTGTTGCTCACAAATTTAATGAATAATAACAAAATATAATATATTTAGTGTAATTTTAGAATATTTTGATGTATAAAAAATTATATGTTTATTACATAACTAAAATTATCCTGTTTTATATATGACATCAGTTACACTTAAATGAGGATCTGCATTCATTTTTTCTGTGTTTTATACATGATGCAGATGATTTTTAAAGAGAAGGAACTATGTAAATTATATTTGTTAAAGAAAATAGGTGATTTAGAAAAAGAAGTGCTTATAGCATAAGAGATAAATATTTGCGAGAGAGAATGTTCTCAGTTAAATAAAAGCGGGAAAAAAAAACATCAGCAATTATAGTTTAAGCAAAGCAGTCCAAAAATGACATGATAAAAATCTGAGCGGCTGAATCTTTCTAAAAACGATTTTGAGAGTTGTAATAATTAAACAGAAAAATGTGGTTAAATAAACAAAGTTTTTACTACATGCAAATTAGTGTAAGAATTTACTTACTCTTCATTTTACTGGCTTTAATTTCGTTGCATATATTCATAGTACACAAGTTTCTGTCTTACATCCTCAGATAAATTTTATGAGTCAGTAAAGCAGCTTTTCGAAAGTAATAATATTGTAATAAGAAAATGAAACGAGCTGAATATTTAAGAAAAGTTTTAATACGTGTATCTCTTTACACAAAAGCATTTCGTTTTTCATTATTATCATTATTAAAATCATTATTACAAAATGACCATTATTTATTATACGTTTACTAAAATCGTTTTCTGTATATTTATAAGTATATTTATACTATAACTGTTTTATATTATCTGTTTATACTTTTTAATTTCTTATTTAATTTGCTCTGTATGAAGTAATAAATCAAGTTAGATTAATTTTCCAGTAGATAAAATTTGTGAGTTTAGCGTGACTTTTTCACATATATGAATGCACTTTCTTTACACAGTATTTATATTTTAATAAATAACACTTTATTAAAAACTTTTGCGTAAACTCGCATGAGAAAATTTACTTGTGTGCAACTTGCTTCTCCCCGAACACTTGAGTAGAACATAACATTTCAGAAATTACAAAATTATCCCTCATTAAATTTCGCATTGATCAAGACTGAGGTGTTGGTAAATACTTTATTATGGCAAAATTTATGAGAAAATCTGCGTGCGTGCAATTTGCTTCTCTTCGAAAACTTGAGCAAAACATAATATTTCAGAAATTACAAAATTATCCTTCATTTAGTTTCGCATTGATCAAGATTGAGGTGTAGCTAAATAACTTTAGTAGCAAAGCACTTAAAGGAAGTTTCTTTCTATAAAAAATGACATCGGGAACACCTTTCAAGGAATGCTCTTGCATATTTAGAATAAACATTAAAAAAGGAAGAAAGAAAGAAATTTTTAAAAAATCTGAAAGGTTTCAGATTTTAAATTACGTCCAAAAGGGCTTTTTTTTCAACATTTTGTGTGTTACATTTATGTATTAAATATCACGTTCTTCGCCCTTAAACCATAAAATTCGGTTCAACAGCAAAATAATTTTAAAATGAGCATGTCTTTATAATTTTCGATACACAGTTCCGCACGCAGGAGATAAAAAATGTTTTTTTCTGTACAACGTTGCCATTGCTCGCTTTGAAATCCTTGAATTTGTAAATCAAAAATGCATTGCAACCAGTCCATTAGCAATTGGAAATCAAATCAAAAAAATATGCAGAAATTTGAGCTAAATAAAGAAGCCTTTGAGCAATATAAAAAAGAACGTAAGCGACACGATATTTCGATAAATATGATTAAAACGTTTATAATTAAAAGAGCTGGATTTGTTCATGAGTATTGCCTGAAATTTTTTTCACTGTACCATTTGGTATACTGCGATTGTTTCGCTATAAAATGCACCTATTTGGAAAAGGCATAATTAGTATAAATTTAGTAGTTACTGTAGTTCATACACGATACCCTTTAGTAATATTTAGCGATCGAGACCAAAAAGTTTGAAGTATTTACAATTGTGCCAAGTGGCAATAGTTTCGGGGTTTACGGACCTTCAATTAAGGAGTATGGTATGATATTGTAGCAGTTAAGGAGTAAAATGCCACCCAGACGGTATAGTGGTTAGGAGATCCTACTGCGGTACCGAAGAGCTCGGGTTCGAATCCCGGAGAAAGATGTTTGTAAATGTACAGTGTGTTTGCGGCATGGGGAGGCATTCTAAATATACGAGTATGGCGAGTCCTTTCGTGTGGATTGGCGGTAGGGAAGAGATCTGTGAGACTCTCTAACCACCACCCCAAGGTAATCTCCCTCAAAACTGTGGTGAAAATAGAAGTCCAACCTTCTTGAGGCTCTGGCAACATTTCTTCCATGAAACTGATTGACAAGACGACAACAAGAGTGAGTAAAATTGTTTGTTATCGAATGATTGGACAGATTCCTTAAGCGTGAACTGCGATTCTGATTCTGGATGGGCTAATTTCAGTGAAGTTTCACTATTGTTAAGAAGTTGTAGTAGAATTTGCATCTTTTTAAAAACATTGGTATTCTGTAGAAAAAACGAAACGAAGCGAATTCTTTTCATTGTAATCGAAGTACATTATTGAATCACTCATGGCTATAATTCATTTCACAGCTAAAAATCCAACCTAGTACAAAATTACAGCAACCAATAATCTTGCCTTCTCTCATATAAAGCCTGTTAATAGCTCAGTAATAAAAAAATCGAATGGGTATTAACGAATAGCCATGTGATTAATACAGCTGAATAATAGGTGTTCCACCCAATTGAGAACCCAGGCAAATAAACTGATTGCATGGTTAAAATTCCTTTTGTTTTTTTATGTGTTTCTATTTTCCTTTTAATTTTGGTTTTCCATTTGTTTTTCCATAACGTGAATATGAGCCATTTTCTCTTAGAATGTATAATAAGTTAAGCTTAGAAAATATGAAGGTATCCCTTCCCTTAAGTAGATAACTCTCGTGAGCTTTGTCATGTTTCAATAACTTAACTTAAAGAACAAACATAATTATGTGTTGTTAGTGGCCCGATTCCACTACCGAATCTAGTTATCTGCTTGGGTATTATTGGGGTTTGTATTATGTACAACATACCGGTCAATACGTAATACGTGCCCATTGTCCATGAAATCACTTTCCTGTAAGACAGATAGCCGTCGGGTATTTTGTCCTACTCAAAGGTCTAATCAATTAATTGGGTATGATATTCCAAATTCATTATCATCATATTTGTTCAAGCCATAAACGTATATTCAATTAAGCTTTATAACTGTATTTGGTACATGAGTAACGAAAATCTAAAATCTGTTTTTGAGTCTATCGCATTTAGTGTATTACCAATATAAGTTTATAATTGTTGTTTAATAATATAAGTAACTTAAAGCAAAGCAATATGTCCATCAATAAAAAAGAAGAAACATTTGCACCAAAACTTGCTGGTTATTAATTTGAATCGCCACATAATACTTATTGTTTTTAATTAATTTTTAGGCTAGCTTCAAAGGGAAAATAATGGCTCAATGCTGTCAAATTTCTCTGGATTCTTTCGTTCTCCTGTTTCTAATCATTACCACGTGGTCTATAATGTTCAGTACTCCTGTGCAAGGTGGTGGAGATGACTGCTTTCTTAGGCCTGTCATTCATGTTCTTCAACAGCCAGGTTGCGTTCCAAAGCCCATACCCTCATTCGCCTGCCAGGGAAGTTGTGCCTCTTACGTACAGGTACGATTATTTTAAGCTATTCTGCCCCAATGTTTTATGAAAATGAATGCATTTTTGAGGAACCTTAACATTAATCACCATTTAAAAGGAATAAGGCTAAATAATGATCCTAAATAATAAGTAATAATATGTACGGTAAAAAAAAAAAATTTGAAAGTGCTCAGATTATAATGGTTACCCAAAAGCGTTGTTTATTCTGCCGTTGAAATCCCAGTGTACCAGTGTGCTGTTGCACGTATTCCTTCTAACGCATTTCTTTTTGTCATTTTAGCTTTATTATTAAGCATCGTTTTCTTCGCTCTTATGCGATATGCAATTCAAAGGCAAAATTACGAAAATTTTGAAAGCAGGGCTGCAGGATATGTTTAGATTTCTCGATGCAGTGTTAAGTGTTGATTTTTTCAGTCTACTTTTTTTTTGCCTATTTTTTCAGTCTTTTCTCAGTTCATCGTATCAATATTCAGTTTCCGTAGTAATATAGCTTTCAAAACTTTTTTTTGTTCTTTTCACTATTAATATTTTGTGTGTTAACTTTATTTATTAAATGTCATGTTCTTCGCACTTAAGCCATATAAAATTCGATTCCATAGCAAAATTACAAAACATTTGAAAGACGCATAATTTTTAGAATTTCCAATGGACAGTCTGGAGATTAAAAAATATTTTGATTTCCACTTCTCGCTTTGAAATCATTAAATTTATTAATAAAAAATTCATTAGATATTTACAAAATAAAAAAAGAGCAACATGTGGGAAAATTCTGCCCAGTAAACAAATTAACCGATTGGGAATTAGAATTATTTTGTTTCTTCGTAACCGCTCTTGTATTTGTTTGCTTATTGATATAGTAATTCTAGAGTAAGTGAAATAAATAAAGGCAAAATGGAGAAAGAGAAAACAAATTCTAGAGCGAAATAAATAAAGGCAAAATTGAAGAACAGAAAGAAATTCTAGAGTGAGTGAAGTTAAAAAAGGCAAAATGGAAGAATTGAAAAGTAAAATTCTAGAGTGAAATAAATAAAGGCAAAATTGAGGAACAGAAAAATAAATGTTAACAAAGCAATACAGAGTTTAATTTGAAAATAAAAAATCTGATGTGTACACCACATGACTTCCTTGTACGGAATATTAAATTATACACATTTTTTCTTGCATTTCATTTAAACATATTGGATTGAATTAAATCTACTTCGCCGACAGCGCATAAACCACAATAGAATAAATGCCTTCTTTAAAATTCACTATATTTGTTTACCATAGCGACACTTTGGCGCTAGATTCACTTAACAGTATTATATTTCGTTCACATTATAACTCATAATGCACAAAATTTATATCACTTAAAGAATAGAATTATCTAATCGTTGCCACATCTTCTATTCAAATACTATAATAAAGCTACAATGATGTATAAAAGAAATTAAGCAAACAAAACAAAAAAGAAACAGTTTTTTAAAGACGATTGGGTATTTCTCATTGAATTAATTCAGTTCTCACTTCGCGAGAAGGCAAAAATACATAAAAACTCAAAATATCTATATTAAAAATTACGAAGTAAATCTTAAACACTTATTTCCTCGAAAAAATTCCAGAAAGGATTAAGCATGATTTAATTGGCAATAATAAATTAAAGCGTTACGTTTGTTGTTGCGAAGCTTAGTTTCTCTAGATTGGCTAAAATATTGCACACAGATTTACTAAAGGCATAAAAACCTTAACCGGAAGATAAAAACAACATAATTCAATCATTTTTAAGCAAAAGATGTACAATTTACAAACATATAAGAGTAAAGAAACTGAGATCACTGAGCCGGGTAACAGAGTGGATATATATATATAAATATATTTATATACGTTTGGTGCGGCCGATTGCAACCAAAATACGAGGTGCACATCTACATGTTATAGCAGTCCTATATGCAAAATTTCAACGTTCTGAGGCTACTCGTTTTTGAGTTATGCGAGATACGTACGTACATACGTTCGTACAGACGCCACGAAAAATTCTCTTCAGAATTCATTTTAAAGCAGTTTTATAATTTTTTTGGAGGAAACGAGTCTTTTATTCTGTCCTTACATACAGATATCATGGAAATACATCGTTAAATTGCATTTGAAAGAGGTCAAAAATGGAATATTTTCGTTGAAATATGTTGCCTGAAACTTTTCGCGATTACAATACTTCCTTTTTACTTCGTACAAGGAAGTAAAAATTAGAGCAATTTTGTTAGATCATGCATCGATTTTTGCCCAAGAACTAGCTTTTAAAAAAACTCTCACTTACACAAAGAAGAATAAATTTAATTAAAATTATTGTTACTGAAATCAGTTAAAACTTTTCTGAGGAATTAAGATCCACATTTCTTACATTTTATTTAGAACATTTTATAGAAATTCGGAAACCTTTTTTTTTTTTTTTTCAGTATATTTTTGGAACTCAGTAAAACAGTTCAGAAACTATACATAAACATTGCACATAAAACTTATTTCAAACATATAACGCTCATTCCCTAGAAAAGAAATGTGTTAGAAAATTTTTTAATCTTCACCATTATTGCAAAGTTAGGCAATATTCATGAATAATAATCTTCATTGTTAGATTAGTTTGCAAATTCCTTTTTGTTCGTATTCATCGTATGAGCAATTATATGTAATTGTAATTATGTAGTTATGTATTATTGTAATTAGTATATTGTAATTACATGAGTATTAAATGTGACACTTTGAGTAAGATTTATTGTTATGTTTGCCATTTTGCCGCCTACTTATGTGTAAATTACATATAACAATATGGATCATCTCGATAAGGAATACTCTACATTAGGAGTTCGGAGAAATATGACAGCTGGCCATTTACAAATTCAAAATATAGTACAGTCTTTCAAACTCGAGTCCGGATTAGTCAAAACTTCGTATAACTTTCTAACTAACTAACTTCGTATCATTTTTTGATCGCTAGATGTTTTCAGCTAGTGAAGCAGAACATTATCATTGAAATAATGTGATTGTTTATTAAAAACTAATAATTTCTGGCATCTCATGTATGACTCAAACAGTATAAGTACATTTTAATTACTGCATTATTGTAATTACAGTGTATATTTATGCGTATGAATGTTCTTTTTTTCCCTGTTCTTTTTAAAGATTTGTTCTGTTTTCTAATTCTACAAATTTGTGTCTCTTTTTCTTTGTGACACTATTTCTTGTAACCTGGGGAACAACGAATCGCGCGACAAATTTTGTTCTTTTCGTCGAAATTCCAATCTACGCCATTTTTCGTTTCAGTAACAAAGTGGCTGGAAAAATTCAGGTAACTACTGTGGATTACCAATCATATACCTTTCTGTTGCTAGTAGCTCATAGGCTCGCCTAAAGACTTAATAGTACCGTATTGCAAGCTAAAATTTTATATCTTTCTGGATAGAATGTCACTTTATATCCAGGTTTGCAAACACTGTGTTGCGTTTTGTTGTATTGTCTGTGCAAGAAAACCTTTCGAAAGAAAAGTAAAAAAAGCAAATCAACATGACAATGAAAATGAAATTGAAGGCTTTAAAAAGAAAGCAAATAAAATCGATATTGATTTTAGGCGTTGAGCGAAATATGATTATGTGTTGCAAAACACCCATCCCTTCAGGACACTGGATCTATACCTAGAAGACTAGAAATGGTCGAACAACATCCATAACTAACGAGAATCGTTATTTGGCTTTTTCAGCGCGACGACACAGGTCTGCTACAGCTTCAGAACTCTCACCTCCACTGAAGCCTGAGTTTTCCGATCTAAAGTTGCTGGGAGGCTTCATGTGCTAGAGCCGTATACCAGAAGATCCGCAGTTTGAGTTTGGTTCTCGGCGTTTGGACACTGATTCTCGGCATATCTGTATCCACAGAGAACATGAAACACGAAAAAATCACTCCGTTTTTAAGAAAAATATCATTACCGTGGTGAAGGTGTAATGGTTTGGGCAGGCATTTTGCTGGACAGCCCCATCCTTGCATGTAATTGTCAAAGGCTCTCTGAATGCTGCGAGGTACAGAGAGAGTCCTATGTTCCACTTTTCAGGGCGGCAGCAGTTAATCCTGAGTCTCTGTTAACAGTAGATAACGTTAGTCCACATACGGCTCAACTGAACGACGATTACCTGAAAAGTGACTATATTCGCTAGTCATATCTCTTGACTTGCACCCTATACAGCATGTCTGGGACGCTCCTGGGAGGGAAATTTCATCTCGCCTGCCCCCTCCGAAACCATTCTGGATTTGAAAACTGCCTTGCTGAAGGAGTGGGATGGCTGCCCTAGGGTCTTCTCATTTGCCTCTTGTCCAGTATGCCGTCACGCTGCGCGACTTATCTGGCTGCAAGTAAGGACCATACTCCATATTAGCCTCATCGTCTTTTCGATATCCCAACATGGATTTCAGCATCCCTGCCCTATGAGCTTTATTGATAATCATGAGTACATAAAATGACTTTTGAATGGTACATCTAATTCTGCATTATAAATGAATATTCATACAAAATTTCATTGAAATATGTCCATTAAGTTTTCAGAAATTCGATATAATGCGCAAATTCTCTTAATTTTGCACACGAGTGTATATTGTTTCACTTTCCTGTATAAGACTAATCATCTGGCGAATATTTCCTAATATTTTTAGCATATGTTTCCCTAAATATATGCTATAAATATGCATTTCTGTTGTACAAATATGTGGTTAATAGTAAACTTTCACGAATCTGAAGTTTGGCAGGTAAATGTTCGAAGTGTAATTCTTCGAAAGGCAACTGTTTGAAGAACTCGGCTTTTCGAAAAACTTTTCTAAAATGTTTTAATTCTGTCTTTTAATTCGCATATTCTTGCGTTCTTGGGTGTGAATGAATTCGGAGATTATAAGCAAATTAGATTTATATCGAAGGCTAAATAAGCATGAGAAACCATTTATGTTGTTGTTGCTTATGCTAACTTGTCTGACGTAGCCAGCCCAAGACCAAGAAATTCCTCGTGGCAAAGAGCAGTAGATTACGCCTACCATTGGCAATAGCCTTGAGCATCACTCAGGTGACAGTGCGATTTAGCTCAGTTCCGCCCCCAAATTTTGATGGACAGCACCCCGTGGAGACGGATTCAAGGGTCTTCCTCTTCTCTTCCCTTCCACCAAACCACACCTAAGGATTTTCGTCTCGCCGCATATTTAGAGTGCCGCCATGTCGCACCGACACTATACATTTACAAACATCCATGCCTTCTCCGGGATTCGAAATCGGGCTGTTCAGCACAGCAGTCAGCGACGCTAACCACTATACCGTTTGGGCAGAAGAAATCGTTTATTCACATCAACACAAGAATGGATGGCAGCTTTCCTATACACTCTTTGTAAAAGGGTATTTGTTTCTTAGTGTAAATTAAGCTCGAGTTTTATATGTTTATTGTTTTTCAGTGTTACTGGAAAAGAAATACATTTTCTTTAATTTTTGGAGGTCAGTACATAAAAACTTTAAAAAATACTACATTCTACATTCAAAAAATAAGAATTAATAAATAAACTAAATTAAAAAGTTCAATTAAACAAAAGTTTTCAAGGAAGATGTAAATATTTACGGGGAATAAAAGCTGTACGGACGGCTTCCTTTCCTCAACTCAGTTTTAAAAATGTTTCTCAAAATATAAATTCTTAATATTTTAATTAAAAACGAACCTTCATTCCGTTTTTCTAGATACATGCTTTATGCCCATATATGTCTTATTTTAATTGCATTTTACAGGTTTATCAAAGATTTTGCTAGTATTATTTAATTTGGATCACGATATCTTTTATTGCGATTTTTTAATCTATATAAAAGTAATTGGGACTTTTTTTTTTTTTTTTTGTCCAAAGGGGCAATTTGCCTAGAAGAGCTATTAGTTTCATTTTGGCATTTTTCTTTGAAATGTCGGTTCACCTTTCAAATTGTCGCTACCAAATATTATCACCCTGTGTTACATTTAAAGAAATTAAATAATGAAGAATCTGCCTAAATCTGTGTATATTTCTCGCATTGTGATAACACAAGGGTACCTAGATCCATCAAATTTAGAATAACGTACGTTTCCACCCGAATATGGGCATCTAGAAGCCCAAATTTGAAATTTGTTTTATTATCTATTTTATATTTTGTAAAACTTTAACGAATTTTTGATTAAAAAACTCAACGATTTGAAAGCGAGCGATGACAACACTGTACGATATTTTTTTAACCTCCGGCGCGCGAGACTGTGTATTAAATTCTAAAGACACGCTCATTTTAAAATTATTTTGCGATATTGCTGTTGAATTGAATTTTATGGTTTTTAAGTGCGAAGAACATGATATTTCTTAAATAAAGGTAAGGCACAAAAGGTTAACAAAACGCCCCTTTGTGTGTAATGAAAAATCTGAAAGCTTTCAAATTTTTATTTTATTTTATTATTATTAATATTACAAATTCTAACCCTCTAACAAATATCTATTTAAAGTATTTAAACTTATATCCTCCTTGAAATTTCTAGAAGGTGCAACTGTAACGGGTGTAACTGTAACTAAATCACATAAATTTATGACTAATATCTTTTTATTCATTAGGTTTCTGGGTCCAAGTTCTGGCAAGTAGAACGTTCCTGCATGTGCTGTCAGGAGATGGGGGAAAGAGAGGCTAGCATTGGTATATTCTGTCCGAAGTCAACTCCTCGATTTAGGAAAATTGTTACTCGAGCTCCTGTGGAGTGTATGTGTCGCCCTTGCACCGCTGTTGACGAATCCGCCATCAAACCTCAAGAAGTTGCCCTGATGGTTGCAGCCGGTGACTCTGAATTCATGAGTGATATGCCTGTAATGGAGAACTTCCATTTCTTAAATGAACTGTCTCAAGCAAAGGAGATTCCTGTTGTTTAATATTTTTGCTAAATGCAGAGCATGATGCCAAATACTATATGCAACTCCACTGCACGTTATAATCAGTTGTGGTGCTTGTATTTCGAGTCTTCTGAGCATTATATCCAAGTCCATTTACTGTTTGATATGCGTATGCAATGCATGAGCATATGTGTAATATACGTATTTTATTGTTTAACATGCCCATTGCAAAACTGTAAGTTTAAAATATGTTTGAGCAGATTCCGTAATACAGTTGAGGTTTGAAATATAGTATACATTGCAAAATCACTCTAAAATTCAAAGTAAACATTCGAGAAATTGCGATTTTTAACACTGCATATGATTCAAAATTATTTACGGTAATTTTTCGTAAACGTTTCACAACGTAAAAATAGGAAACGTTATATGTATGAAATAATGTACCAGAGCAAAGCCATAGTAAAGAAAGAACTATATAAGCTAGAATAAAACTTAGTTAAATTTTGTTCATTTCATTTCTATTATTTATGTAATACTTACTGGGCGACCTTAAGAATACATTCAGAAACAAAACAAATATATTTTTCCGTACATGTACAGGAATTGCACCGCAATGTCTGTATATCTCCTAATTCTTAATATGAGATTTAGGTAATTAAAAACTGGTATATATATATATATATTTTAGAAAATTTATTAAAGCAAATTAAAGAATAGAAATAATAGGATAAAGGAATAATTGTCATATAGATAGATACCTTATGTATTAGACTAAGTTCCTCATTGAAATTCTCTTTTCCAATAAAAATACCTTCTTCTACAAAATATCTTCTAGTATCTCTAAATATATTTCAATAAAAATGTCTTCCAATAAATATCTATCCAATAAATATCCTTCCTATAAAAATCGGCCAATAAAAATATTTTCTAATAAATATCTATCCAATAATATCTTTCCAATAAATATCTTCCAATAAATAATAGTCCAGACATAATGCGTACATATTATCTAATAACAAATGCTATGCTACGAATCTTAGATTATATGTATTTTATATGATATATCACAAAATTTTATCAAATTAATTTTCAAATATTTCAAAAATATTACCAAAAAATTATAAAATTTTATCAAATTAATTCTTCAGCCTCAAAATATTACAAAATTTTATCAAATTAATTCTTCAGCAGAACTTAAACTTTTATCAAATTAGTATGTAAATTAGTAGATCATTAACTAAAAAATCAAGAAAATTAAAATGAAGACAGTTCTCTATAAAACATTATTCCATTGTGTGTAAAGTCCCCCAAAACTTTTAAAAATATTGCTTTCTTTTTAAACTCATAGCACTAGTTTCACACTGCAATTATTATATCTGAGATTTATTAAATAAAAATTTGAATTAATGCATTCAGAAGGAAATACGTACATAATAATAGTTACATAGGATTTAAAGTTTTGTGAACACAGAATAATGCATCTTGACCGCACTTTTTGCACCAATTTTTTTTCATATTTTAACACGAAATCTGAATTAAGATAAATGCTATAATATAACGATATAAGATTATGATATAAGAATTTCTTAAAATAATATTCTTTAAATACGTGTTTTTGTGACTCCTTAGTCAATGTGCAAGTAAAATATATGTAATCTATTTGTAAAGGATCAAAATTCAAGTGTTCTTTTTATATTAGCAGTGCACTATTAGTAATTCCTTTTCTTTAGAAATTCAGAAATTATAATTTGTAAAATATTGTTCAGCTGACTATCGATATAAGAACTATAAATTGCTAAAACTTTTTAATCGTTCTTTGATTATAATACTTGAGACAAAAGAATTCTTTTGTTAACATTTTCTCAATAAAAAGAATTTTTTATGTTTCAATAAAAAATTATTTCTTATTTCTAACAAGAAAAGGTTCATCTACTGATGAGTCAGCATTATTTCTTATCATTTGAAACGCATCTCATTAAATCGGCCAACTGGAATCAAAGTGATTATCAAAGTGATTCCCTTAAAATATTTATGTGTAATCTGTACTTGTTATATGAGTTATGTAAACATATGTTTAGTGGTTTAATGTAATAACATCTATTTCACAGTTTAGTTATACGTAATGGGCATATAATGTTGTGTTGAATGTTGAATAAATTTCTCTTTATTATCAGCTTTAATTGAAAATGTTTACTAGTATTATTGGAGTGACTTATTCTTAAAATAACAGCAGCTCATCATAAAATATTTCTCAGAAATATATTAACTGACACAGAATCTGCTTTTGAAATAATGTATTAAGTAAAACTGTTTTCTTTTTGTTATAAATATGCTATGTGTAGCTCATAAAATTGTATGATTTAATGCAATTTTATTTTGTTCTATTTGTGCTTGTAATATTTGTTTTATTCGTGTAATTACTTTACATATGTTGCGTATGTAACAGTAATTACAGTAATTTACTTACGTAAATTAGTAACAGTAATTTACTTACGTAAATTCTTAATAAATTAATTATAACGAATTTCTGCATTTAGCATTCAACGTAATCAACTTTAAAATGATCCAACGGAATAAGAGGCAGTTTCTAAAATTTTTACACAAGTTTTATAAAAACATGCAGAAAATTAATTATGAATTATTTGTAGAATATGTAAAAAAGAGAATGATGAGGCCATTCATTGAAACACTTAACATGCACTGACTTTGTTGGCTTGTACAGGGAAGTAATATATCACCTATTGTAGATTCATTAGGTTATTTTTGAAACAGGAGACATGAAAATTGAACACTGCCCTCACCGGGACTCGAACTTGAACCTCTCGAATACGCTCCGAGTGTGCTACTGTTTCCCGATGCCAGGCATTCTGGAAGGAGGAAGAAAATACCTCATATACTCCACCTTTTTAAAGGGCGAATGCAGATTAGGGTACCCAATCGCCAGATCCTGGTAGTGATGAATTATTGTACACAACAGTTTTTAGTTCGGGCGCCACTGTAGAGTCATTAGGTTATTTCTGAAGCAGGAAACATAAAAAATTAGCAATGCCTTCGCCGGAACTCGAACCTGGACCTCTTGAATACGCACCGATGTGCTACTGTTACACCATGAAGGCATGCAGAAAGGAGGCAAAAAATACCTTATACCGTAGATTCTGGGAATTTTCTTGTATGTTGCTTCCTTTTGGTGCCCTTCCAAAGACAAAAATCTAAACATAGAGAACTTCAAGTACCTAAAACTTTCGAGTCCAGAATTTTAATCTCTCATTATCAAGACACAACATATCATGTCATTCTTACATATTATGAAAATAATTTAGTTTATAATTTTTCTTTCCTGTTTAAAATAACAGCCTGGTTATTTAGAAGTATTCATATAATTAATTTTAGATATCAAACTTTTGTGATTAATTAACTGATATGGAACTGAGAAGCATTCTAGAAGTATTTGCTTTTCATATGCACACATTAATTTCAAAAATTTTTATAGTGAGTGCTGTAAAAGAAAACTCTTATATAATTCTAAGTAGAAAATACGTAATAAGGGTAATGCATAAAGTCGTTCATTAAATAACAATTAATTCTATTATTATAAGCGTTAGTAATAAAGTATAATAGAAGAAATAATAGAAGAAAATGTAGTTAAATAATGAAAATAATTTCACTAACTATTACTGACTAAAAACATTATTAGCATTTATAAAATTTATAACTAATTAATAACAAAATTTGCTGGATAGAAAAAGTCACGATTAGCATTTTCTTGTCAAGTTGTAGAGACATTAGGTATTTTTTTTGGAAACAGGAAAAATGAAAAATTAGCAATGCCTTCGCCTGGAATCGAACCGAGGACCTCTGGAATACCGATCCAGCGTGCAGCACCACTACGAAGGCACGCTAGGAAGGCGGGAGAAATACCTTATAAAGTTATTAGCGGAGAGAAAAGATATATGACGGACGCATACAAATGTACAGGAGATGAAATTTTAAGCTAAACAGGATTTTACAATGTAAATATCTGAACTTAGTTTCTCAGTTTTCTGCATGATTTACCTTAAATCCCTTACTACAGCGGTTTCTTGAATATTGGATTCCAGCAGTAAAAAGTGTTTTGTCACAGCTTTAAAATCATTCCTTTACCTTGAAAACATCCCTCAAATTGTCTCCATTTGCTGTAATAAGAACAGTCCAAATTCTGATTCAGATTTCCAAAGAAAAAGAAGACACTTGGGGCCAGGTTTGATGAATATGATAATAGGAAAGAAGCTAAATCCGCGTTGCTGAATAGGACTATGGGTGGTCTGCGCCTCTGCTCGCTAAGTTTTCTATGGATGTGCTGTTATTCTTTTGTAATCTCTAGTCTATAAATATCTTAAAGCTTTCACTTCGCAACCGAAACATCGAGGTATCAGACAATCTTTCGTGATAGTAGTCTGTAGTTCAGGCTTTAATTATCTAATTACAAAAGACAGTAATTTTCACTGTTGGTTATTAAAATTGCTGTACAGTGAAGAAAAGCAGATAACAAAGAGTACAGTAGATTACAGTAGACTCCCGATTATCCGCGGGCGGATTATGCGCACCTGCCGCACAAAGTTCCTCTTTTTTTTTTTCAACAAGCGTAAAGCAAAGAAAATAAAACGTTCACAAAACTGAGCGAAACGTTAAATCTGCTAAAAATCGTAAATCGTGCTTATTTATAGCAAAAATATCCCAGGACTTCTCGGAACCTTCCCCTCTGATGAGTAAGTGATTTCTTACTCACCCTTGCAATGCCCACTCCACCGCCCTCTCTCGTCTTAATTTTACTGACACGTCCACTTCCTTCCAATCGCCATTGTTAGTTTAAGCCTGATAGTGTTTGTGGTTAATTTCTTATCTTTTATTGTGTTCAGTGCTTGTGCTTTTTGGTTTTGTGTTTTTAGTTACCGATTTAAAATGTCAGGAAAACGAAAGAAGGTTGTGTTGACGATTGCGCAAAAACTAGAACTAATTTCCAAAGTAGCAAACGGCGCTACAAGGCAGCAGATGGAATTGGATTATGGAATCGCGGAAACAAGAGTGCGTGATATTCTAAACAAAAAGACAAACTGGTGAACTTTGCATCAATGTCGGATAGTGCTTCCGCAATGAAAACGCGAAAAACTATGACACCTTTGATGAGCTAGACACGGCATTGACAGAGTGGTTAGCTCAAGTTCGAAAAGAGGGTACTCCTGTAAATGGTCCTATCGTGGCGGCGAAGGCAAAAACCTTTTTTAAGTTGTTAGGCCTGAAAGGAAATTTTGATGCGTCTTCTGGCTGGTTGACTCGTTTTAAACAGCGACATGGAATTCGAGAAATTGGACTTCATGGGGAGAAACTTAGTGGTGACCAACAAGCAGCCGATGATTTCCACCATGAGTTTGAAGAGTTTGTTTTAAAAGAAGAGCTATCTTTTGAACAAATTTACAATTTTACAATGCCAACGAATCGGGACTCTTTTGTGGAAATATCTTTCCACTCACACTTTAGTATCTGAAAGTGAAAGAAAGCGGCGGGTCATAAAAGCAGCAAGAAAAGGATTATTATCATGTCTTGCAGTAACGCTACCGGTGCACATAAACTTAGACTTGTTGTCATAGGAAAGTAAAAAAAAAAAACCCGAGATCTTTCAAAGGCACAAGGATAGAAGATTTGCCCGTTGATTACTTTAACCAAAAAAAAGGATGGATGAACCGAAACATTTTTCAAGAGTGGTTCGAAAAAATCTTTGTTCTTCAAGTGCGTAAACATCTTAAATCGAAAAACCTGCCTGAAAAAGCTGTGCTATTGTTCGACAACGCACCTTCTCACCCAGCAACAAGCGTGCTAAAGTCTTCTAATGGACAAATTTTTGCAACGTTTCTTCCCCCCAAACGTTACTACGCTAATCCAACCCATGGACCAAGGAGTCATTGCAACAATGAAGAGAACATACCAAACCAAGCTGCTAATGACCAAAATTGAAGAAAGTTATGATCTGAAAGAGTTTTGGAAACACTACACAATCTTGGACGGCATCTACGATATTTCATCTGCATGGGACTCAGTGAAACCGTCAACCCTCATAAATCATGGAGAAAACTCATGCCTAATGTTGAAGCCAACAACAACCTAATCCATTTGAGTTGTGAAGAAGAGAATGAAGATGTAAACACGCCCACGGCCACTTTTGCCGATATGGTAAAAACGTCGATGCTGAAAACATTAATGAGTGGGTTGGAGTGTGACGTCAACGAACCTGGCTTCGAACGCTTGACAGATGACGAAATTATGAAGAAAGCAGGGGAAGAGACCGAGAATGAAGGAGAGCGAAGTGAAGGCGAAGAAGAGTCCATTCTGCAGATGCGGAAGTCTCACGAAGCGGCTCTGCAACAAGTCGACGGACTGCTGAGCTATTTGGAAGAACAAGACGACGCGGAGTTGGCCAAGAAACTTACGCTACGAAAAATGAAATCTCGGATCAAGAGAAAATGCTTCCAAAGCAAGAAGCAAACGCAAATGACTGATTTCTTCTAAAAGGTGTAGTTTTACAGTTATGCTCTTGTAATTACATAATACATTACGGTATTAAAACAGTACATATGTTTTAATTTTTCTGTGTATCCTTGACGCCTCTCGTAAGTACAAAGCACTTTTCTGTTTTCATTAACAAAATGCATTTTAGGTTAGTTTTGAGTGATATACTAAAATATTAAGCGTTAGTTAAACATTTCCTGCTTTTTATTTTACGTTTTATTCTACATAAAACGATGTTTCAAAGTTGGAATGACTGTTTTCTCTTTTGCTATACCCGTTTTTAGCTTTTTTCGGATTATCCACGATTTTTGTTATCCGCGGTTAATCGGGAGTTTACTGTATTTTAAAACCACGTTATAATAAAAAAAATAAAAAAGGACTAAAATTTAAAGTAATTGCAATATATAGTACATGCAAAAATCGGTATTCTGAGCATCCATTTCTGGCAACAATGGCAGCTGTTTATACCGTTCGACATAAGAGTTGAATCGACATTCGAAAGAATTTTTGTATATCCCAGTACACACCTTTCAGTTCTTTGACAGAATTCATTTGTCGTACTGACTGACAGATGTTATAGTATAATTTCTCTGAAGCCCTTCACCAGACAATTTCAGTCCAGGAGAGATTTAAAGACGGCAACAGCCAGACAAGAGTTGAAATAACCTCTGTATGGAGGAAACTTGGATAACGGTCTCTCATTATCCTGTTGAAAGTGGAGGAGACCGAAGATCCCAAGAAATGGTACAACCTTGAGCATTAATAGCTTCATATAACTGACAGGTCAAAGGATAAACTGAATAAACGAAAGGGTGAGTGACGTGTATGATCTGAGTACCCAGAAACGCTTCATACGCTTCATATCATCAACCCTGCCTGCAGATCGGTACGCCGGTGAAGAATGCAAGCTTCCAAAGTTCCTTTCCCTTAGAGCCTCTGCACACAAATTCAGTCATCATGATGCTGTCAACAAAAGCGGTATTTGTCAAAAAAGGCGATATTACGCCACTGATGTTTCGTTGAACCCGCCACTGTAGACGCTGTTTTCTGTGCTATAACGTCCAAGAAAGTTGAAGTTATGGTCGCATTTTTGACAGTCCATGACACTACAGACGTCTTCACACCATATGGGAAGATATGCTGTGCTTTGCAACGCACTCAGTTTCCTGGGCCATTTTTCAGAATGTGGCGGCACAACCCCTAGCAACAAACAATGGGAGAAAGCTGTTTGTCGTTTCGTGTATTGGTGAACTGGATGGCCGTTGAGATGCCTCTCGTCTGTCTGTGTTGCCCAGCTGGATACATCATCTGCAAATTCTCATAACAATCATTGGATCTTCGCCAATGAGGGTAGCAATTGCGCAGTACGATAACGCTTTGTCACAGTAAAATATGATTCTCCTCCGATTGAATTCTGAGGTGTGTAGAATGAGTTCTTTCGTCTTACACAAGCCATAACAAGACTTTCTACACAGAAAACTACTAAATGGTATTTTGAGATAAAAATCAACATTTAATTCTGTTTTATTTTATGTTGTTTTGATATGTCATTGCTCATACCTGAAGTTTGCGAGAGCTTATCATTTCCATAGATAGATATTTTCTATCTTTCATTTCAGTTTTATATTTATGGAGTATTTCCCTTATGATGCAACAGATTTTAATAGCCACCAGTGTAAAAATTAATAAAAATCTAACATCTATTAAAAGTAAATATTTATTAATTAGGTTACATACCAAATCACTAAATATAAACTGCATAGTTTGGGGTGCTTAGACTAAATTAAACTGAGAATTTCTTTCCTGGTATACAAATATGAATATTCTGGATATAGTGTCTGATCTAAGGAATAGTGTATCTAATTCTTTCCCCAATACATATTACAAAATGTATGCAAACTCTAAAACTACTCAGCCACCTCTTTGGTCAGCATCTAACCTAAATTCACAGCTTGTTAGGTAATCCGAATTTCGTGATTCTCGCTACCAATACACATCTGATCTCAGGTACCTTAAATTCTACTTTTATACTAGACTGTATTTACGTAGTTAGTTAGATATACGCCTGAATCTGTAATCGAAAAATTCAGAACCGACTAAATTATGAAAAAATGATTAATATCTTAAATATATTATGACTTAATTATATTATCACTTAGTAGAAGACACAAGATTCGTAGCTGGAAGCTAAATATGTAAGTTTCAGTTCATATTTCTGAATCAAACACATTGAAGCAAGGCACTCATATTATTTTACTTTTTTCAATATTTGCACTACAATCTTGTGTAATCTTGGCTTCCTCAAAGGCATGAAATTCGAATTAAATTATTGTATTTGCCCGCGTATAAGGTGCACTGGACTATAAGACGCATTCCCTTTTTTGTACACATTTTTGAAGGATAAAACTATATTACTGATCATTATAATGGATTTACAGTATTTTAATTATAAAATAATACAAATGCAAAGTAATACTTCTGCAAATACCTAATCTATCTTGGAAAGCACACCTTTTAATCCTTCTTCAAAACCCAGACACTCCTCTCCAGAGCTAAATGAAGAGTCACTTGAAGCCTCTTCTAAATTCAGCATCTGAATCCTCATTCAACATTTTGTCCTCTGTACCATCCAGTACATTACTAATGCTACACTTCTTAAACGATTTAACCACTGTCTCTGCTTTCACAGTATCCCATGAAGCTTTGACCCATTTACAAACGACGTATAGACGCATAAGGCGCAGTATCGGCGTATAAGGCGCACCCCGTTTTTTAGACCTATTTTCAAAGAAGAAAAAAAGTGCGTCTTATACTCCGGCAAATACGGTAGTTGTTACATGTATGTGGTACCTTTGTAAGCAAATGAGAACGTTAAAGAATTCGATAAAGAAATGTAAGAATATAGTCAACGATATAAACCAAACAACTCATATAGCAAAATTATATAAATAAGAAAGTTATTCGTCTGTTTAGTTGGCAAGTGTTAAGCCCACGAGTTCTCTCTATCTAAGGCAGATAAGCTTTCGAGAAAGACTTCCTAGGGGAAACTAATTAGCAGTTACATTACACATGCGGAAAACCAGGCAATCATCCATGCAGCCGGAGCGCTTGGGGGGATTTGAAGCCAGCTGAGGAATTACTTCAGTAAAGTAAATTTATAGAGAAAATTTCAATGAAAGATTAAAGCGCCTTGCGATTATTCTAACAGAAAGATGGAAATATCTTTTAAAGATGGTAATATGTCTTTTATAGCGCTTTGCATGGAGTTTTTTCTAAAATAGTAATTTAATGGGAATTATGCACTTCAACTAAATGCATAGAAGATAATTAGGATTGCTGAAATAATTCACGCTAATCTTGTGAGAAATAAAATTTTGTATTTATAAAAGTAATTACTGTACTATTTAAAGGAATGCAATAAAATTCATTCATATTAGCTTTCTAACCATAAAATGATATATAATTTCTAACTATAAATGATTTACCATAATTATTTGTTATTTAATAACTTATTAACAATTAAATAATGTGTTATTATGTCCAAACAGTGTGCAGTGAATGATATTCTTCCCTTTCTCATTTTTTAATTTATCCATGCATAATTACGAGGTTTTTTTGAAGTTATCTGATGGATAATATTTTATTTAGTTAATATGTGTTTTTTAAATTTTTCAATAGTTTAATAAAATTATAATATCGCATATTTTTTTCATTTTTATTTTTCACATACGCATTTTAAAATAATCAAAATAAATTATTGAATAATTAATTACATCAATTTTTAATTTAACAAAATATTTGCAGGCAGTTTGAAATATATATGCTAAGCACAAAAAGCTTTTACAGTCTTTCCAATAGGAAAATCAGATAACATATATTAAAGTCCGCATTTGTGGCAGCTACACGCTTCTGGTTCCTTCAGGTGAATAACCATTGTTCCTTGCTGTCCGAAAATTCTTTTACCGTCTTGTGTATAGCAATCTGTCAGTAAGATTTCCCTCTGCCTCATCCAAGTTTCCCTACAGCAATGACAATCCTACAAAAACAGGTATGGACATGAATAAAGCTGGGATGAAAGTTTCACCAGGCATATAAAATAAGAATGTAAGTACTACAAATAAAAAGTGCTGACATATAAGTTAAGAACAAAAATTAAATATAGGGAAACTTTGCTTAATGTGCATATAGGATATGCGATAATCAGTGATTTGCTGATTATATGATTTAGTGAAATGATACTGTCTTCGGCTTTTGCGAGTGTTGAACCAGTTAAAGCAATTTTTCATGCATTACCCAAATGCCAATAACAAAATCAGTTTTTAAAAAGTATAAAAAATTGTATTTTTGGAAAAAACGTTTGAAAACCCTAACTGTTATATTAAAAAAAGACTGTCTTTGCATCGATCAGAGTCCTAATTAGATTGGGGACCCCAGGGTAACAGATGATAAAGCGCCCCCCCCCTCTTTATTTTTTCTCTCAACCTTTTCAACTTTTTCCCCTGGTTATGGTTAATTACTTTATAAAGTATTTCTTCCGAACTGCCATGGTAGAGCGGTGGTGCTCGCGTCCTCCGTCACTAAACTAAACTAAACTAAATTAACATGCCTTCGTGGTGTAGTGGTCAGCACAGTCGGTGTGTATTCGAGAGGTCCGTGGTTCGAGCCCCGGTGAGGGCATTGCTCATTTTTCACTTCTTCCTGCTTCGAAATAACCTAATGTCTCTACAAAGGCGCAAGAACTATAAAAGGTGGTGGATTTCTCCACCACCTTTTTAAGTTCTCCACCACCAGGATTTGGCGATTGGGTCCCCTTATTCCCAGTAGCCCTTTAAAAGGAGGGTATATAAGGTATTTCTCCCGCCTTCTTAGCATGCCTTCGTGGTGTAGTGGTCAACACGGCGCGTATTCGAGAAGTTCGTGGTTCAAGTCCCCGCGAGAGCGAGGTCAAGTCAAATGGTTAGTTTTCGTCATTCATGCTTCGAAATAACCTTATGTCTCTACAGCTTTATTAATGATTAAAGTAGCTTTACGCACTTTAATTGAATGAAAATGTTTTCGATAGATGTTTTTTGATGATTTTATATGTTATTTTTTATTCTTGTTTAATCCTAGTAAGCAAAAAGAATATATTATATCCGAAGCTACTTGACATCATATAGAGCGCAATATAAAGAATATGCAATACAATTAAGGTAAAATATTTACCAGCAAATTATTCAGTATGCTTTAGTTTTATATTGAGATTACAAAAATCTCTTTTTTCTAAATATTAAGAAAGAAAATTTATTAACCGTTTTATCAAAATGTGAGCTCGTATTTTCAACTGAGAACAAAGCTAAACTGATTTTCTTCTCTGTCCAATAATGTTTGACAAATAGGTTTTTATTAATTTCAGTTTTGAAAATAATCGTTCAACCTTAGTTACGTCATACAAGCTGTTAAATACATAAAGTATATTATGCATACATCAGGAAAACTCGATGAAATTAACTGAGATTTATTATCAAAAATTATCCTTGAAAAACGAAATCGTTAACGAAGTTACATTTAATGATAAAATTAACTTAGATTTATCATGAAAAATTATCCTTGAAAAACGAAATCGTTAACGAAATTACATTATTCAGTCTGTTGAATGTAAGGAAATTGATATGGTTTTTCTTCCTGACGCGGGGCCTGGGGCAGTGTCGCTGTTGACCCGATGGTAGTTACGACCCTGCTTTCCATATTAAGGATATATTGCAAATGGGAATTTTCAATACAATGTAATCATACTCCTTATTTTGAACGATATAGTTCAGTTTTTGGAAGTCATACATTTTAATAGCAAAGTCCATTAAACGACGTACTAGATTTTAATAAAAGTTGAAGTTTTCTGTGTTGTAGTGATTTCAATACAAAAAAGGAAAGTAATTCAGCGCTTTAAAGAATATGGAATCGAGTCAAAAATTATATTTATTTAGGTACTGATCATTTCCCACAGCTCCCAGGAAAGATGCTTTCTAAAAGCGAAGCGATTAGCAGGAAGATAGCTACCAAGCTACCGAATGTTGGTAATTCTTTGTGCTCTAGCAAATGGAGCAATTGTTTGAAGTTGTAATCATGCATAACGTAAATATGAATGAGTTCCTATACGTAGCCTCCCTCACTCGGTAGAAAACCTTGTGTGCTTTACCTAAATTAACATCAACAATTTATCTAATTTCAAACCTTATGACAAACTCATTTTATCAGAAACTATCTCAGAGATTAATAAGATGACAAATAATAATAATAATCATAATTTCAAACGTGAAAGTTTCTGTAAGATTTTTATTCATTTGCCTGCACTGTTGCTTCTGTGTATTCCTGAGTAATGTGCATTGTTTTATGTAGTTATTTGCGACATTAAGTATAATAATTTTAGAATTTGTTTTGTGTTAAATAAAATTTGTGGTCACATGCTAAGTCCTCATTCCTCGTATAAAATTAGCTCTTTCAATTCTGACTCCAACAACGTTTAATTTTCAAAAAAAAAAAAAAAAAATCTGAAAGATTTAATTAACATTTTTTCAGATTTTAAATTGCGTCCGAATTTAAAATCTATCATGTTCTATGTACTCAAACTATAAAATTCAGTTCAACAGCAATATCGCAAATTAATTTTAAAATGAGCATATCTTTAGAATTCCTGATGGTTTTGCGCGCTGGGGATAAATTTTTTTTTTTTTTTCGTACAGGTTACCATTGCTCGTTTTGAAATCGTTTAGTTTTCAATGAAAAATTCGTAGAATTGTTACAAAATCGATAATAAAACAAATTTCAAATTCAAATTAGGGCTTCCGCATGCTCATATTCTATGAAAGATTACGTTCTTCAAATTTTGATGGCTCTAGGTACCGTTGTTTTATCACAATGCGAGAAACATATATATATTTACGCAGATTCTTCATTATTTAATTTCTTTAAATATAAGACAGGGCGATAATATGGTGGCAACGATTTAAAAGTGATGCAGCCTTTTAAAGTTTTCGACGCAAAATGCCAAACGAAATATAAAGTCCTTCAGGGTAAATTGCTCCTTTGGACTAAAAAGAAAAAAGCTCAAGTAACGCAAAATATGGACAAATGCACTCCGGACAGTCGATAGCGGCAATTTTTATCACCAAGTTAGGACATTTGGCGATTTTTCTCAGTTTGGCAATTTTTCGGAAAATTCTGGAAAACGCATTTTTGAAGCCCTAAGATCGATTTTTCCTGAAGTTGCCAGAAAGCCTTGCAACACCGTACGCATGAGATTGGCGATGCAAAGAGAATTAATGGTATTACGTTTCAGGATTTACCTTGTGAATGATTAGGATATTGATGATATTTCTTATTCACTAGAAAAGAATTACTCAATATCCGCTTTCTCCTTGAGCTATTAACAGTTATTTGTTTTGTTGTGTTTCATTTTTTTAATAATAAATTTTCAGCTTCTTCAGGCTGATTCAGAATAATTATTCAAAGAAACAATCCCATATTCATAGCTCGTAATAATATCAAGGCTGTTCAGTTATTTTCAGACCCTCAGCCTTTTCATCAAAAACAGTTCTGTTTAAAACATATATAATAATGCCAGGAGATGCGGTAGCATGTCAGTGTGATATTTATGAAACTTCGCGCAAATGTCAATGAAATGTCACGCTACATAGTGTACATACGAAGACAGTCGCTGCAATGTATAATGACAGATACATTTGTGCCCGTTTACTTTTAAGTTTAAAATGTCGGTCACGGAAACTTAACAAAATGTCAAAACCAATATTTGACAAGAATGCAGTGTTCTGCCGCCAGTAATAATGACAATTCAGTAGTAATGTCACTTAAAAAGAACATATTTAAGTTTGGGGAAGACCCACCACCGGCTGAGTGGTAAAACACTGGTAGTTCGGTTCAGTGTTAGAGTCTGGGCGAACGGGCTGACTACAGGTATAGGTAAAAACATGGCGGACAACAGCGATGTATCATGGGTCAGTTGATAATACCTATCCATACTACCTAAATCTTAAAACGAAGAAAAAATTCAAGCTTTATTAGAATTTACAAAGATATGTTGAGGATATGGCAACTGAAGCTTTCCAAATGATTTAGAGTTTACATATTGTAGTACATTATGTAATCCCACCGTACGCTCCGCATCCAGTATTCATTAAAAATAATGATGTAGAACATAAAGAGATTACAATATAATTCCAATACAAATTTAAATTCACAAATTAAATTGAACATCTGTTTTGGTGTTATAAGGTATTTCTCCTCCCCTCTTCCTAGCGTGCCTTCGTGGTGGTTCGATTCCCGGCGAAGGCGTTTGCTAATTTTTCATCTTGCCTGCTTCCAAAAAAATCCTAATGTCTCTACAGTGGCGCCCGAACTAAAAGGGGTTGTGGATGATGACTCTCCACACCCAGGATTTGGCGATTGGGTTCCCTAAAAACCCCAGTCGCCCTTTTTAAGAGGAAATATATAAGGTATTTCTCCCGCCTTCCTAGCGTGCCTTCGTGGTGTAGTGGTTCTGCACGCTGGGCTGGTATTCCAGAGGTCCGTGGTTCCATTCTCGGCGAAGGCGTTTGCTAATTTTTCCTCTTGCCTGCTTCCAAAAAAATCCTAATATCTCTACAGTGTGACAAAAATAACAAACAAACATAATTAGTATACACATAAACATGAGATAACTATAATTAAGTATCGTTTCCGCGGTTTTCCACATATTTAACGTGGATACGAGGCAGTTTCTCTTAAAAAGTGCTCCACGGGGTACATGCCTTCCTTGCCGTGTAGTGCCTAACGGTGGAGCACGTAATAATTAAAGTATGTGGAAGATTATCCTTATTCTGAGCGATACTCCATCAGTTGAACTCAGGAAAAAAGTTTCTGAAATCAATATTTTGGGATGAGACTGTGATTAAAGAGTCTTTGATAAATGTTCTGCATTACTCACGAGATACTATTCACAAAAAACTCTCATAAAAGTGAAACTGGAAACTAGAGCATCAGTAGTACCGGAATAGTTTTGTCCAAAATTAGTACCATCCTTTCCCTACACTCGCCTGATTTAAAAAAAAAAAAAAAAAAAAAAAAAAAAAAAAAAAAAAAAAAGGCAAAGGTTTTGCATAGCGTTACAAAATTTATATTTCATGGCATTTTAGGAGAGTGGCATTGACACTGGACTAAATGTATAGTAGGAGGAATACTTTTGAGCGTTGTTCAGTGATTGTAAAAGAAATTCAATCCAGGGATTTAATGGACAACCCTCTTTGGGCTAAGGAAATTTTGTTCAACAGTCATCATGATATGGAAAGAATCTTCTAAAGTCGCCAAAATCTTGATACATAAATATGCTGTTTTTACGATTTGTGTGACAAAACGAAATAGTTATATTTTTTCCAGTTACTTAAACGCCTTTACTCGGCATTCTCCTAAACATGTAGCTCAACCAGCATTTAGGTGTGAAAACAAAATTTAAGCAACTGACTTTCATTAACTTTTTTGTATGATAGTTTTAACCTCTAATATAATTTTAGGAAAGTCAGATCAATAATTATTTTTATTACTTATTGTACTTCCTGAAAGCAATATTGCGTCAATAGACGTTTTCATTTATTTACCTACTTTTATTTCATATAACCAGGAATTATGCAGTGCATAAAAAAGTAAATATTGCAGTTGAATTTTTGCGGTAATTTTAATTTGATGCTCTCTTTCTTTAAATGAAGTGAACTATGCTTCGATACAATGGCAACTATTAACTGGAATTTAAGAATATTTATTTCGAAAAGTTGCGAGTCAGAGGAAAAAAGTCAGAGGAAAAAACCAGAGTCAGAGACTCTGGTTTTTTTCCTTGGGATTTCGAAAATAAATTTAAGGTGCAGGTGAGGAATACAGTCTTCTTACACCTTACTTCAACCGAATAATCATACGATCTTTAAACAAATTTCAATAACTATGCACGTAATAAAAGCAATCAGTATAAACCTGTTTTAATATTAATTTAAAGGTAGGCATTAAAATCCCCTAAAATTTCCTATCGTTACGAAAGCAGCGTAGTAAGGATAAGGCCATATAATGATCAATCAAAAATGCTACTTTATATTCAGTTCCATACAAAAAGCCTGTCCCCATTTTTTCCAGGTAAACGGACTAAACCAGATACGTTTTAAAATTTCGATTCGCAAAGCATATAACTTTTGTTCAAAAAATTCGAAAAAAAGAAATCTCCTACAGAAAATAAACAGGAGTTTCACAGCATTGTTGGTCTTCAAATCTTATGCTTTGTTTTGTTTCTGCCGAAACCACCCAGAAAGCTTCGTGATATGATGAACTAAGTTTTCTTGAAGATTTTCATACTTATAAAATTCTGTCAATTATTTAAACTCTACTAATTATTATCTGTAATATATCTACGATTATTATCATCACAAATGAATTCGTTAATTTCACTGGATATATAATTCACATAGGTCGCAACAAACATTTCGCTTAATCAACAGTACTTACCACGTATTTTGCTGCGACGCCAAATCGGCAGAATGAAAGCAACAAATACTTGGAAGAAGTTTTCTTCGATATGTTTAATAAACAGTAAAGAGAAATAAAGCATCAGACTTTAAAAGATTTTAATCCAAATAATCATGAAATTTTAAACATATTATTTCACCTACTTATAAAGTATTTAACAATTATATTTATTAACATGGCAGCATGATATGGCGAAAATCTAACATTGTACATATTATATATAATGACTTAATCAGCGACAATTTCAGTGAAATTATATCTTGAAAATATACTTTTTATTCTTAAAATTTTAAGAAGAAAAGAGAACAATAGAGATGAAAAGTATAACTAATATATATATTAAAGAACGTTATCGGTTCCCATTTCATTATATGGCCAGAAAGGTAATGAAAATTTATTATAATTCTAGAGAAATTTCACGATGAGAGTAAAAGATAATACCAATAGCACTAGATACATTTAAAAACAAAATCAACAAACAACTTTCGCAAATAACATTTCCGAAACTTAAAGAATAACGTATACGAGCACTTAAAAATGCTTGAGGGAAATATGGATCTCAAAATGGAGAGCTCTCTCGCTAACCTAAATATCGGAAATACTTTATGACTCCTCGCAAATTCTCGCCATTATTTTTAATGCCTTTTCTGCAGATAGAAGGACAATTTCTAGAATTTTCTTGCAGACGACAATAGAAGCATAAGACAAATGTACATTAATTCGTAGTAATACAAAGAAGAAAACGTAAATATATAAAAAGTATAGATATTTATAATAATTTATAAAACTGATTAGGACTTTTTATGTGCTCAGACACGAAGGTAGAAAAAAGAAAAGAAATGAATTTGAGGACATAAGAAATTAAATACTATATGCGAAATTTATTCTTTTAGACTACAATTAAAAACTCTTATTTTAGAAATTTAAATACTATTAACTGTATATGTGATATTAAATAATCTTACAGAAAATGCTGCCTGTCAAGAATATCTGCAAATACTTCAAAATGGCTCTTTTTCCACTTGATTGCCCAATATACTTTGCTCTCGAAAATAAGTAGAATAAAAAAGTTCTTTAGCCTCTCAACACTTAGATCATTAAAAGAAAATTATTTTTCTCAACAATTAAAAACCAGCATTAAGACTCTATGTACTCATTATGCCATTTAATCGTACTTTCGTAGGGTACTAATTGAAAAGTGTTCCAAGGTTATTCTGGTGTGATCAAATGTGATTATAAAAAGCATTTAAACGCAACCAACTTCGATATACTTACTTTTCTATTTCAGTTATAAGGATCCTAAGTTTTACTAACGTTTATTTTATTTTAAATCTTTACTATCACTTCTTATTTTCTACTTCCGGCCAGAATTAAAAGCTTTTAACTTATTTATGCAAATTTGTCTTGCTAACGCCAGGTACTTAAGTTGTGGCTTTTTGCCAAGCTAGAGAGAGGAAGGAGTTATTAGAAGCAGGCCGCTGTCAAAGTAATTTTACTCGGTTGCTGGTTGCCTTCAAGGCCAGAGGTTTAATCCTCGTGATAATTTTAAACGTATCGTAGTTTTAGCAGCTCTCTGTACTACATACGGCTTTTTGTTAATTAACGGCCAATCTTGGAGTCAGGCACTTGTTTATTAATCCAAAGTTAGTTTAGTTAGAGTTTTAGTTAATATTTTTATATTCTTACGTTCAGACCACAAGTGATTGGTCTCTGTATTCCGAAGTTCCGGAAATCATTGTAAAGAGAGAAAAATAAAGGGTTTCGTATACCCTTCCTGTGTGTATTGTCTACTTCACAATTTATTGAACATAGCTTTAGTAAGCTCCCTGTTCCGAGTCAGGACAGTTAATGTTTCCAAAGCAAGTAAAGAGGAATACAAATACTGATACAGTTACATACTTCTCTCAACAAACGTGCAAATTTTGTAGAGACATTAGGTACTTTTCGAAGCAGCAAGATGAAAAATGAGCAAACACATTTGCCGGGAATCGAACCACGGACCTCTGGAATACCGGTCTAGCGTACAGAACCACTACACCACGAAGGCACGTCAAGAAGGTGGGAGAAATACCTTATATATGCCCTCTTTTAAAGGACGACTGGGATTTTTAGGGGACCCAATAGCCAAATCTTGGGTGGGAAGAATCATCACCACCACCCTTTTTAAATCCGGCGCCACTGTAGAGACATTAGGTATTTTTAAAAGTTAGCAAGATGAAAAATGAGCAAACGCCTTCGCTCAAAATCGAACCATGGACCTCTGGAACACCGGCCCAGCGTGCAAAACCTCTACACCCCGAAGGCATGCCAAGAAGTTGGGAGAAATACCTTATAGTTTTACCAATGTACCGAGGATGGCTTTTTAATATCTGCTTCACAGCGTCTTTCGATTACGTTTTCAATGTATATTTCTCCCAGAAAGCTATCTTTTAATTTAGTGCCTCCCTATTTTGACAAGAACAAATGTATCACCTCGACGACTAATCAACAATTACATTGGAAAACAAATACATTCTCTAAAGATCGAAGTAACCTTTTCACTTATCTCTCAGATATCTGGTTTCTACGCTGCAGAGCTCAGCTCGGTCTTTAAGAACTTTATCAACTTTAAAAAACTGAGGCAGCAGTTACACAATTACCATTCTCATTTAAAATTATTAAACTACAGCAGCAAAGCGAACTAACGCCTAACCCGCCGCTCCCGAAATATGTGACAGAAACGATTCAAATCAAAAGAAATATATGTTGCTTCGTAAAATTATGACAAACAAAAATCTTGTTTCCTTTACAGCTCTGAATCTAAACAAAGGCTGCTGATATGAAAGTCTGCATTAGCATTTAAAGGAAGAAAAAGCAGTTAAAAACCACAAGTGTCGTCTGCAGATACTGCGGCGGAAAAACAATTCAAACAAAGAGAATTTAAAATGATAGACAATTATTGCTTTCATCTGTAACAACACTTTAATAAACCGTTTCTTCTCGCTCACGTTTGAGACTCGTAGTCCTCAATAATGAGACTTAAGTCCTAAACAATGTATCACAAACTATTTAATTCGTCGAAATTTTCACCTTGATCATCATCTTCTTTCAAAGATTAAGGCATTGTTAAAGTAGCAAGTTTCGGAGAGAATACAGTGTTTTATAAACTAAACCATGAATAGCAAAATGTTCAAGAAAAAAATTCAACAAAGTATTTAAAGATTCCTATATTTGTGTGAGTGGGACTTCTATCTAACCGTCCAAATTCACTTACTTATGAAAAGAGTGCATTTATATTATCAAATATTTTTCTTTTCCTGTATTATATCAAAGATATGACCTCTTAATTTAATACCTTTAAAAATCCTGTGGGAGTGACCACGCTAGGTTGAATCTGTGACGTGCAAGTGCCTTCGCATTTCGTCACTGCAATTGTACCTTCACATGCTCTAACAACATTGCCTAATTCATCATATTCTTCCTTTGTCACCTGGATTGTGGAAGGCATGGTTTCACATGCGTCTTTGAACGTGCCTGACACTTCAGAAACTTCTGCAACTTTTTGTTCTCGGCCACTTGTAAGATGTAGTAAGTAAGGAAAACACCATATAAAGATCAAGTACGTTGACAGAGATGCAATCATCTGGAAAAAATGTAAAATATTAATTACTTAAGTGAAGGCAGATTGATTGCAAAATACTTAGCTTAAAAACAATTGAATCCATAACTTGAAAAATAAAACTGAAAATTAAGCAAATTTATAGAGTTTGGTGTGGAAGACTTATATGTCCAACAACATATATGTCTTATACATATAAATAAGATAAAAAATATTTAAATATTAGCAAGAATGGATTTAAATTCTTAATTTATTCCTTAATTTATTCTTCTAAAAATAAGTTCATGTAAAGAAAACCTGTCCGATTTTATTAATATAATGATTCAGTACTCTAAATAGCTGATGACACTTTGTTTTGCTCTTGTTTGTAGCACTTCGTTAAAGCTTAAAATATTGCAACCAAGGAGCATTTTTTAAAGGTACTTATCTTGTCCAGCTTATATCCCACTCAACTTGGTAACCAATAATTTGAAGTTTATGGCTTGCCAGTTGCTTGAGCTCCATAAAAATTATAAAAAGTTGGACGTTATCTCTAAACTGAGTTTTTATCATTTCAAATAGCAAAATTTCCATTTTCCTTTTTTTTTTTTTTTTTTTTTTTTTTTTTTTCATTTACGTAAGGAAGCAAAATGCTAGAAGAGAAATTTTGGCTTAAAGATTGAAATGTTAAAATTTAGGCATTGCTGTCTGTCTGAACTACACGCGTGCTGACCATTACACCGCGAAGTCACGCTAAAACAGCCAAAAAAAAATACTTTATACATTTTTCATATGTATTAAAGCGTACTTTAATACATTTTTCCTTTCATTATATTAAATTAATCATTTCTAATAGTTAACTGTATTTATAACGTTTTAATTAACTACAAACTAAAAAATCAAGAATTTTCTATTTGATACCAATATGAAAATTAAAAACACTTCAAAGAGATTGATACCTCTAAGGATTTCTTTTCGTAAGTAAACAAGTGTATGGATGATTTAAATGTTTATTTAGCAAAAGAATGTACTTCTAAAGCTGTGGTATTAAAATACGTCACACGATCACTTATCTTCTTAATTTGATGACTGAACAATGTCTACAAGTGGCTAACTCAGAAAACAAAGTCAAATAAAAATATAGACGGGAATGTATGTAGGAGGTACTGCCTGAACCGAATGTCTCATCTTACGTTAAATTATTGTTAAAGTTAACGACGAACCTAAAACCATATTCCAGCATATGCTTTTCGACAGCTCCATGGCATTCTTATTTCCTCAATTCGTTGAATTCCCGCACATGACAGTAGCATCCTCTGCATAATTAACAATATGACTTTTTTCCGGTTTTTTCCTTATAGTAATTTCGTAACTCCCTGTTTTCTTAGTACAAAAAGAATACCAACAGTTTTAATAATTGGCAACTCGGAAGCAATCGTCGTCGATTAAGGCATTGATAACGTAACGCATTTTGATGAAAGAAAATTAAATGATCAGAATAGACATTGATAACATAAAATTTATTTTAATTCTAAATGATAAAAAATATTTGTCCTACAAATTTGAAATTAATTTCAATCAGCTTAAAATCATTTTTTTTTCTTTTAAAAACTGATCCAGAATAACAGCAAATTGAACTATAAATCTAATAAAATTTCAGAAAACATTTTACTAAGTTTTCAAATAAAATCATTGAAAACTAGAGAATTCAAATACATTGATTCGTAGGAGGAACTGTTTTTTTTTTTTTTTTAGGAGACTCTGATGAAATAATAATATTCTTTCTGATGTGACTTTAATGGTTTTCAAAGAAGAATGATAGTATAAAATACGGAGCTTTAAAGAAAATGTAAAAGTTTTACGTCCATAAAAGAGCTATTCCCAAAATAAATTTAGAAAAGTTCTAAAAACAAAATTTATTAAAATATGTATTATATATTACGTCCATTACATCCGTGATGGATAACGTATATAGTAAGTCATATATTGCAAATGAGGTATGTATGTGTGTACATATGACATATTATTTTAGTCTCCTGTTCGTAAAATTTGGTGATATTCAGCCATTATTGCACGAATTTTTATCATCTTTATTAATCTGAATTATTCTATAAGCACCAAGAATTTCTTTTTTAATAATGCAATACTGTAAAAATACCATCGATTCTAAATGTTTTGGCGCAAGATTGATGTGACAAATATATTTTAAACAGCCCCTCGAATGGCTCGAATGTTCAAAATGATAACAGTGATTCGAATATTGAAAGTAACAAGTATGTCATTTTGAACAGTACCTCAAATTCATTAGACGTATACAGGATAAAATTTGTGAGAGCTTTCCACGGACCACATGGTAAAAAGCAATAGCATATGCTCAACCGTTTCTGCAGTTATTTACGTTAGTTTACGGACTTGATTTTAAAGAAATCCATTGTCACCGATAATGAAAGCATGGGTTCGCTTTAGAAATGAAACATGCAAGAACGGAATGGAAAAATCTATGTTTCAAGGCCCATTCTAGCAGAGCAATTGATGGATGTTTTGGATCAGAAAGATCAATTATTCTTAGATTATATAATAAATATTCAGCTGGGTACAAATGGCTGTAGTACAACTATCTATGTAGCCGGGTAAAGTTGATAATAATTAATACTGTTATGCGTGGTGTATATGCACTGCCATCAAATGTTATTACTTTGGACTGCTAACAGAAACTCATCCACACAAGGCTGCTTTGAGTTTAAAACTTTTGCAGAATTTTTAATGGGAGATTAGCCTGGACACCTTAGAAACACGATATGGGGATAAGTGATTTTTACCTGTCATCAGCTCTGAAGAAACGACTTGGTTACAAATTGTGGAGTAACAATGATGCTATGCGATGATACAGGCTTAATGGGATAAGGCGCAGGCTTATACAGATAAGCAATCATCATACAGGCTTAGATCAGCAATGATACAGGCTTAGGGCTCAGAGCATCACACTTGACTTAAGATTGTAACATGCATTCAAACCTCTCGGGAAAGTAACTATTTTGTTCAAGTTTTCTGCTTTGCCACGTTATATAAAGTAGCCATTCACCAAGGATCACTTTGGGGTTAACCTGTAAATGGGAAATAATTATCCATTACAAGTGATAGCTGAGGATGAGAGATCAGTTGATTAGTTTTTGAACGCTAAGACTTACATTTTTTGAGTTACATTACGTTACGTTAATTGATTTAGGCATAGAAACTCCAGTGCTATCTGCCTAGAAGGAGGAATACCTTCATGGAGGATTTTTAAAGGAAACTGGCTCGTATCCAAGCTACACATGGGGAAAACCCACATGTTTTTCCGCCAAAAAAAAAAAAAGGAAAAAAATCGTACGTGCCTCTTTCAATGGTAAAACAGGTACTAAAATTGTTTAAAAGCGATGTTCGTCCGAAACAAATGAGTATGTGATGTCAGTCTTTACATAATGCGTCTGTCGTCGTAGCGGCAACGTGAAAAATTAAATGTTCATTATGTAATTGAATGTACAGTCTATTGTGGTAAAATAACTTGTTTTCGTGGAAATAAATTTTCGTAGTCTACATTTAGGACGTCTGTGTAACTCAATGAAAACATGGAAATTATGTCCAAAGCAAGATATAAAGGCAAAAATCTTATGCAAAAATCTACAATATAACTTTAGAATCTGAAACCTCTGGTCAGTCGGTATAAGAGGAAGGGGAATGTTTTTTCCTTGATTATAAACATTTACATATACGCACACACTTTTAAAATCCCTTTTTGCTTCGCTAAAAACTTAGAAGATTTTAAGAAAAACGCATAATACAACATAAAAAGAGACGCTTTGCTAAGAACACAAGTTGGAAAATAATTTCTTAATGTTGATATATATAATAATAATAATTTCTTAATGTTGATATAAAATCTTTTCAAATGATAGCAATTATTATCAAAAATTAAAATTATGTAAAAATTAAGAATGCTTATGATATTTGAGGAGAGGGACAGGACAGAAATCAGTTTCATGATTGTTAATTTTTTTAGTTAAACTTAGTTGTACAAAGTTCAATCCAGCACTTAAAAAAAATTCTTTTAGAAAAATGGAATATAACTAATAGTAATTCAAAGGTTCTTACAATTCAAAGGCTCTTACATTCAATATTATTCGAAAGAAAGTAATAAAGCAAACATAAATATAAAGAAATTTTCAGATCAAACGTGTACTTCTGAAAAGAATGATACAAAAAGAACAAATGCAGAATACTAATGAATACGAAATGCATTTCATATTTGTTTGTATATTTAATTACTCACCCTAAGCAAAGCGTGAGAAATTACTCTGGACAAAGAAAAATTTCTCCAAATATTACAACTTCTTTCATCAAAGACACAACTTAAAAAGTTCTGCCTCGAATGATACAGTACATTTTTCATAGCCAAATAATTCCTAGTGGGCGTGTCCTAAAATAAAGTGGCCACTCAGAGGGAAAAGAGTTATAACACCGCGGGAATTTTTAACTCCTGCAGCGATGACTCTGTAGCAAACCTTCCACTACTTCAGATTAATAGAATCTTTTCTTACTTTCAGAGTACTGGTGAATGAAAACCAGCAGGGTTCATGGATACTTTGCATGAGTAAAGGTTTCGAACTTCACTTGCCGGCGGGGAGTCAATACAGTTTAGAAATCTAACACTTTGAAAAATCTTTCTCATAAAAATTTTTTATGTTATTGAAATATGGCGGAAGAACAGATTTTGAACAAACTGCTAATTTTAAAATAACATATCAATATATTAATATTCTCTAAAAAATTGTATAACAAAGAATAAAAAATGCATATTATGATTTGGTTTGGTTTATGCAATTATGGCAAACCCTCGAGGGCTATCTGCCAAAGGGGAAGGACTTTCTAAGGGAAACCTCCTCGTACACACTCATATTATGAAAACAACCATAGGTATACGGTTTTGAAGGATTAACTCAAATAAAAATTTTACAGATATGTAAAAGAATTTATTTCTTCAACCTTAATTGGATCTCGTTTATATATTTCTGTAAATATTAAACTTATCTCAAAAGCTGTCTCTTAAAATCTTTTGAAGGGAATTTTAGCGATGAGTCGTAAAGTATTCCATCACTTCAATTTATATTTTTCTATATCTACCAATAATCTTTATGTAGCATATAAGCTCTAATTAAACAATACTATATGCTGGAGTTTTACTCTCATGTTTAAAAATACTGTAAATTTATAATCGTATACTGTAATTCATTATCGGACAGATGTTTTTGCAATAACTGAGGGTGTAATATACTAGCGGTCTGAGGCCAAAGCAAAATTTATAAGTTCTATGTACACCTGAAAGAAAATGCATAAAAACATTTCAACATGAATGCAATCAGTTCATTCTTTCGAAGCAACAAAACATTCGTAAATAATTTTGTGTTGCCAAATCAGGAAACAAAAACTTTCGACACTTCAAGTTAACACATATGCGTATGACGTCCTTATTTAAATTTAATGCACTATAACAACTTTTTCTCAATATCAGAAAAAGAATTAACGGGGAAATAACGTGCCATGCCAATTATCCTAACCTGAAACAAAAAGTCGCCAAAAGCAGCTATTTATTTAATATGCTGACATTTACGAAAGTTTTTCGACATAAAATGGCGTCACATGCAATCGCGTACTTTCTTCAACGTCAGAATATGACATTATATAATCATAACATCAAACATCATAACATTATTTTAGCCCAAAGGGGCGGTACCCGAGAAAGGCTATTAGTTTGAAAACGGCATTTTGTGGCGTTTCACTATAAACGGCTAATCGCTTTTTAAAATGTTGCCACCTAATATTATCGCTCTGCATTGCATTTAAAGAAATTAAACAATGGAGAATTTGCATGAATATATGTACTTTTCTCGCATTGTGAAAAATGACGGTACCTAAAGCCATCAAATTTTAAATAACGTAAACCTCCACCCGAGCATGGGCACCTGGATACCCGAATTTTGTATTTCGAATTTGTTTTATAGTCTGTTTTATGTTCTGTAAAACTTTAATGAATTTTTTGTTACCAAACTCAGCGATTTCAAAGCGAGCACTATACGAAAAAAGAAAAACATTTTTATCTCTAGCACGCGAGACTGTGTATCGGAACATCTAAATATATACTGTTTCTAAATATTTCGTGATATTGCTGCTGAAATTAATTTTATGTCGTTGGAAAGCTAAGAACACGATATTTAATAAGTAATACAGAAAAGCATTAAAAAAAGTCCCTTTGGGGTCTAATATAAAATCCAAAAGCTTTCAGGTTTTTTCTTTATCTTTTTCTCTTTTCTATTTCATATTTTGTAAAACTTACAAATTTTTTTGCTAGCAAACTCTGTTGAGACATTAGGTTATTTTGGAAGCAGAAGACGGAAAAAATGAGCAGTGCCCTCGCCGAGACTCGAACTAAAAATCTCTTGAATACGCGCCGAGTGTACTGACTACTACACCACGAAGGCATGCTAAGAAAGCGAGAGAAATACCTTATAACGCTACGACTTTAAAACAAGTAGTGGCAGCATTGTTCGGAATAAAGCATTTTTATCTCCAGCGACTCAAGAATCTTGTCACTCGGAAAAATGAGTGAGAAAATCAGTGTTTTCAGAGTTTTTAATTAATATCTCGGCTAATTAAAGTCCTATAAAGGTAAGAATGGTCGAAATGCCTTTCCACGGATTTTTGAAACTCTTTCTCGAAGCACAACTCCCCGCCATTCCGGAGGAGATGATGTCACAAACAAACAAACAGACACAGATTTTAGTATTATAGGTAAAAATGACTTTTTATAATAACTACAAAGTACCTATGGTTTATAAAAATCATTAGTTAATTTACATTCAAACCTGCATACACTGAATTTCTAATTCCCAGCCCCGTGCTTGATATATGGAATAATTCAATACATGAAATAGTTAAAAGCATGTAACGGATAGGTAGACTTAGTGGAATATAAAAAGTTTTTCTAGATAAAAGTATATAATAAAATAACATAAAAAATTATATAACATAATTTTAAAAAGGAGAATATTGAATACAAAATTATATTCTCAAATTAAAAACTCAAAATCTCATTACTATAGAGGTAAATGAAATAACTACTATGCATGCAAATTAAATAAATAACTATAATGAAAATTCAATAATAACTATAATGCAAATTAAATAAACCTTATCTTGTCAAAACCTTATTTATTTATTAAAAAACGTTCTATCATGCTTGATGAGTAGTTCAGAATTCCGTTTTTATTTGTTGTCCATTTTATGAAGAAAATTAAAATCTCTTTCTTTTACAACCGTGCAGCATAATTACAGAAATATATGTTACTTGTATCACCTCTTCTTTTCATTTTTCACTCGTCTAATAATTTTCACATCCTTCTTCTTACTAAATTCTTTTCCAGGTTCCTGTTCTACTGGGAACTAAAATTTTTTAAATTTTCAAAGAGCATTATCAATAAATTTTTTGAGATATCGAATACGACTCCTAAATTCAATGAAAAGATTTTGAATATACTTGTATTTTTCTATTACAATTTTAGTGATAATGTTTTAAGTTTAATAACTAAGCTTAACTGTGTATGCATTTTGAGTTCAAACGTATTTATACACTGCAGTTGATTCAGATTTAAAGAGTTTGCATTTAAGAATATTTTGAAACCGTTTTCTCAGCAAAAGTTAAGAAAAAGATCTCAGTTTAATTTTATTATCCTGATCTAATAAACTGCTAAAAGTATCTAATTTATCTAGTTCTGAATTTGGTAAGCAATGCTTCATGAAAGCGAACGAGCTTAGTAGTCATTGCTAAACTGTATATAAGCCCTATTCATATATTATTTCAAACTATCGGTTTCAACTAACATATATAGGAAAATTATGTTATCCGTCATATTATATATGAAGGTTGTTTTGCTATTCATAAGATAACCGCAGCCTGGATATGAAACATTCGAATTTTTTCTGAATGTGGAAATAATTCGAGTATTTAAAATTGAGGATGTGTCATTCATAAAATTGAGGATATGAAACATTCGAATTTTTTCTGAATGTGGAAATAATTCGAGTATTTAAAATTGAGGATGTGCCATTCGAATCTTCGACGAATCTCGCAAAAGATTCGAGATTCGAAAACTCAAATCGTCCTATTTTTTCATCATTCGAACTCCTAAGTGTTTGAACCGAAATGATATATCCTAACTTAACACCTTATCATTGCGAACATATTTCAAAGCTTTTATAATAATTCAGCAAATTTAGTTCTAATGGCCACATTATTCTTAGAATTCATGATATTTGTTAAACATTTGCTTAAAGAACCACTATTTATTAAACGCCTACAGAAGTGATTCCATTCGTCAAATGAATGATAAAAGGTCAATAAAAAATTTTAGCATTTTTAAAATAGGAGAACTCTGAAACATACTCTCTGTGTCTAAACAGTTTTTTTAACCGAAAACAAGGAATGTTTGTTTAATTACATGGCCAAAAGCGAGAAAATAGTTAATTTTAGCACTTGTTTCTGATGAAGAATTTCGGCCAACCAATTGCCCGGTGTCTTTTAGTATAAGTAGTTGGATAGTCACACCGAGTTCGAAGCCAAGTGAACAGGCTGACTGCATAGTTGTTTTTCGTGGTTCTTTCCCGTGTTCTATGAACACGAGCCGATCTTCCTTAGAAAGTCTTTTACAAATGTATCTCTCCCCTTACTCAGATAGCTCTCCAGTGCTTGGCCACACTCGAATAATCGTAACTTGAAGAAAAATTAAATTTTTTGAAAGCGTATCGTATTCAGATTTAGATCATACTGAATCATTATATTCCTTAAATGCAAATAGTAATAAGTGGGCAAATTAGGCACAGAACTTTTATATTACGGTTAAACAAGTAGAACTGAAACTTTGATCTTGAAAAATAAACTTTCCATAAGAATACTTCTTTTGAAACCTACAGAGAAAACAGAAAAAAAAGACTAGATTTAAATTGTAATAAATATTAATTTTACATATCTTAGAAGTATTTTTGATAAATAAATTGGCAACATAGGCTGCTATCAAACTCTGATACACCGTAAAACAATGCACTCGATATTTATTTTCCAATACATAATGAAATTCGTTGTTAGAAACAAAACAGTTGGATAAAAGAATGTGGATAATGATTTGATATTTCTGAAAAGCCTTTATTATCATATATACACTGTGCGAAATTTGTTAAGGACGGATAACTCTATCACCCATAGTAACTATAAAATGAAGGGAATCAAACTAAAAATAAGTTCAGGATAGATACAGTAAGAAGATGTCTGCGCATGCAAAGTTTCATTTCCTCAACTATCATCATGTGATAGCACTGATAAAAGATTCATA